CTTTTGCATTGAACACGAAAGTTGTGCGAAGTACTGTCAAGCATCTTGTATATTGTGGGCAGTTGTGGTGGGCGAGTGATGGGTGCCTGTCAGCTGGTCATCAGGGGCCAGATTCACGAACCAGTTACGCAAGTACTTACGAACGTGTGCATCTTTCCTCAATCTTTGGCGGCTTTGGTTACATTTATTAAACAGTTTACAAGCATGCAAACTTCCCAATCAGCTGTTGTTATTGTTATAAACAGCCTCCTGGTGCTTCGGAGCTCATTAACTGTTTAATAATTGTAAACAAAGGCGCCAAAGATTGAGAAAAGATGGACAGGTTCGTAAGTGCTTGTGTAACTGCTTCGTGAATCTGGCCCCAGGGACTTGGTTACCAGAAGGGCCCGGTCTCCCCACACTGGTCTATCAAGGCTCCGGTGGCGCACTGGTCAGCACACTCCGGTCTGCCCTTTGCCACCTTTCCACTGCCAATATTATTTTTTTGCAGACGATGAGTCACAATAACGCGACTGAAGATATAAAAACTAAACTACACACCAGAAGATGAGAAGACGACGACGTTTCGGTCCGTCCTGGACCATTCTCAAGTCCATTGTGATGAGAGTGAGATTGATTGATGAAGAGTAAGCCACCCAAGAGGATGGCACGGGCATGAATAGTTTATATATATATATATATATATATATATATATATATATATATATATATATATATATATATATATATATATATAATATAATATAATTTATATATAGGGGGGTACCACCACTGGTGCACCGGGCTTGGGGAGTAGAACAACTCCCAGAACCCCATCAACCAGGTATCAACCAGGTAAGTGAAGCCTGGCCTCGGGCCGGGCTCGGGGAGTAGAAGAACTCCGGAAACCCTGTCCAGGTATGGTCCAGGTAGACAATGCCAGCCATGTACCTTGCGGCAGGATGATATACAGGTTGAGACATATTTCGTTTAAAACGTCCTCTAAATATGTACAATGGGTTTATAGCTTAAGCCCTGACACGCACAACGGTGTGGACGGAGATTGCCGGCTTGAGTGTGGGTATTTATAGCGCTTGGAGTGGCTTAGTCTTTATTGTTGTGGTACCAGCGCCTGTCTCTTGTTGGGGCAAGTGACCCATGTTGGGCGCCCCGCCGACCTGACGCGGCTTGGGGCGGGATGAGGGCACCCTGGGCACGGGATGAGGGCACCCTGGGCACGGGATGAGGGCACCCTGGGCACGGGATGAGGGCACCCTGGGCACGGGATGAGGGCACCCTGGGCACGGGATGAGGGCACCCTGGGCACGGGATGAGGGCACCCTGGACACGGGATGAGGGCACCCTGGGCACGAGATGAGGGCACCCTGGGCACGGGATGAGGGCACCCTGGGCACGGGATGAGGGCACCCTGGGCACGGGATGAGGGCACCCTGGGCACGGGATGAGGGCACCCTGGGCACGAGATGAGGGCACCCTGGGCACGGGATGAGGGCACCCTGGGCACGGGATGAGGGCACCCTGGGCACGGGATGAGGGCACCCTGGGCACGGGATGAGGGCACCCTGGGCACGGGATGAGGGCCCGTGTATATATATAATATATATTATAATGTGTGTGTATACACACACACACACACACACACACACACACACACACACACACACACACACACACACACACACACACACCAGGGTAGATAAAGACAGGTTATTTAACACAAGTGACATACACACAAGGGGGCACAGGTGGAAACTGAGTGCCCAAATGAGCCACAGAGATATTAGAAAGAACTGTTTTAGTGTCAGAGTGGTTGACAAATGGAATGCATTAGGAAGTGATGTGGTGGAGGCTGACTCCATACACAGTTTCAAGTATAGATATGATAGTGCCCAATAGGCTCAGGAATCTGTACACCAGTTGATTGACGGTTGAGAGGCGGAACCAAAGAGCCAGAGCTCAACCCCCGCAAGCACAATTAGGCGAGTACAATTGGGTGAGTACACACGTACAACCCAGGTGAGTACACACACACACACACACACACACACACACACACACACACACACACACACACACACACACACACACACACACACACACAAATGAGTTTAGCCGCTTTAATGTGGCCCAGGTTGGTACTGGTGATCATGCACGCAGTCTGTCTGTCTCAGTTATTTAGTTTGTGGAGTGTTATTTACCTGGGTGTTGTGTATGTGAGGTGTAGGGTGTAGCACGCGGTGTTTACTGTGTGGGTGGGTGGAGGGGGCGCGCCACGGAGAAAGGTGCCGTGAGCAGCTCTTCACTACCATGATGTAATTGTCAACATTTACACACTATTATTGCTGGACTCGTCGTCTTCACCACCACTCGCTCCTCCTCCTCTTCCTCTTCATAATTCTCATCTTTCTTTTATTTCAAAAGAATGTATCACAATAAACAGGTGAGAGGGCAGTGACTGCGTTACACAGCCGACTTGAGAATGGTCCAGGACGGACCGTAACGTCGTCGTCCCTTCACTTTCTAATGTGTGGTTTGGTCAACAGCCGACTGGTAAGGCGGGGCTCGGGAACTACTGCTCGACCCTTCAACCTCATTTAGGCGACCAATGGTGGTCACTACCCCACCATCCTACTATTCCTTCACATTCCCCATGATATATGTGCTTCAGCCTATAGTTTAGACCTATTGTCTTATGTATGACCCTCTGTCCTGCGTGACAGTGAATACCACCATTATCCTCACTTTAATAAGACTATCAAAATCCTCAGATTAGGCAAAATTGTAATTAATTTTGTCAATAAAGATGTTAATAATAATAAATTCACATTCCTCCTCTTTCATACATCTTCACTGTGTTTATCTTGGCCACTACTGGTGCCGTCGCCTCGTCTCCTCGCTCCACTCCTCTTGCGGCACTGACTGAAAATTGGTCTTGAGAACAAAATGGAAGAGTTAGTGGGAGCGTTCGCCTCTGGGGGCGACCTCCAGTACTACTGGACTTGGCTCTCCGGTAAAGGATGTTTACCTATATTCGTTTCTAGAGATCTTTTACCTTCCAAGGCGGGTCGAGGTTCATGATTGTCTTGTGATAACTTGGTTTAAAAGGCTGTTGCTTGGAGCGACCCGGTGACCCACTTCCATCACATCCTGTGTTGTGACACAACCCCCGCAAGCACAGCTAAGTGAATACACAGTCACTGAGAGCGGTGTCGACGGAATACACGCAGACTGTATTGTGCAAACCTATTGGGTCTCCCCGCCAGCAGACTGTAAGATTATGGCTCTACAAGAGAAAGAGAATCAGATCAAATCCCCATCCGCTACGCACCATTACACGGATGGATATAGAAACAAACTTGTCATCTGACAGCTTCACATACGTCACTAATGGATCAGTAGACCAGCAGAGACAATAATCTGCAGCTGACGGTAAGGCAACCAGGAGGCCTGGTCGACGACCGGGCCACGGGGACGCTAAGCCCCGGAAGCACCTCAAGGTAACCTCAAGGTAAGGCAGTAAATTCTACAGTTGGAGACTCTAAAACAGGTGTTCAATATCACAGAGATGCTAGCCATCCACAAGGCTTCGGAACATGTTCTTGCTGAACACCGACAACAAGTTATCATACATATAGACTCAAGAAATGCCACTGAAAACTTGCAACAAGAACACTTGTGTGCCAGCATCCATATGACCACCAACGTTATAGCGTTAATACATACACTCGAACGTCAAGGTCCCCGAATATTCCACCGCGTGTCAAGTCGTGTAGAAATACCAGGGATTGGCATCGCAGATGAAGCTACAAAACTTAAAACTAAGAAGGGGAATGTAGACATTTACAGGACACAGAGTCTAACGCAGAATAAGACAATAATGAGATGGAACAGTGACATGACGCAGCTTCTGGATCTGCGGGTTGGTGCAAGAATTTAACCAACTATAAAGTACTATTGTGATGAAAGGGAACAATACAAGAGAAGCACTCACACCGCATCAGGCTTGGATACCCATGTGCTTGGGAAATAGGCTCACAGTTTCACGAGATGAGAGGAAATTTCAGTATTTCTAATGTATAATATGATTATCTTCTGTATGGATTTATAAGCCCTTGAGGGACTCGAAATAGAGGGTAGAAGTAGCCTAAGCTACTCTTTCTTTTTTGGGATGTACTTTATTATCTGTACTTTAGCATCTCAAGGTAGGTAAGGTATTACCTCAATAAATTCACTTGAACTTTTTAGGAAATGTTAAGATTGTCGAAAAATGCCTATGAGACCACTGGAGCATTGTGTAACACAGTGCAGAGTTGCAAACCAAATATGATTTCAATTGAGATTTAAGATCGCAGAGGAAGTTGTTACAACACTCTGGGGTATTGTTATTAAAGCCAACACAAGGGTCATAAATATCATCCAACACCTAAGACAGACAGACAAGAGTAACACTTCATGGGCCAGCCAGAGGCTTAGGGCCCTGCGGGCCGCTCCAAGCAACAGCCTGGTGGACCAAACTCTCACAAGTCGAGCCTGGCCTCGGGCCGGGCTTGGGGAGTAGAAGAACTCCCAGAACCCCATCAACCAGGGCCCGAGCAGATATATCCCTACACAAAAAAAATAGTAATATATAATGTTCCATGAAGCAACGTGTATTACTGAAATCAATTCATTTCTCAACTTTGCTTGCGTGCATATATGTACCGATGAATATATCTTTGAGCGTATATACACCACTCGAGTATTTCCTCATATCACACCTATAAAAATCCTATATTACTTACGATAATACTGCGATGTTCTACGAAATTATATTTGTTTTAATGAATGAGAGTGTTTGAAGACATCGACAAGGGCCGATCATTTGATGCATCACGCTATTGTGATTTATGTGTGTAATGCCAGTGTTTATACGAGCTATTAACTTAGATGTGTATATTGTAACAGTTGTGAGAGTGAAGACTGTGCAGTAAATTATAGTGGTTGTTGTTGTTGTGTTACAGAGAAGGAGTTGGGCACGAAGAGCATTGTGGTGATGACTGACAACCAGACCATCCTCCATCATCCCTCAGCCGTAGACAAGCATGACAGGTAAGTTATCATCCCTCACTCCCGTCCCCTGGCCCGTCTCCCCCCTCCTGTGAGGGGGCACGGCCCCCGAGCGACAACTGGTGAACTAAGCATGCCATCAGTGCAGGATAATTACCCTGCCGAGTCGGTAAATAGTTCATATGGTGAATTAACGATTATAGTATAAATGAAATATAAATATTCGAGGCGATTACCGCGCCACACACCAGAGGATGAGGAGGCGACGACGTTTTGGGCCGTCCTTGACCATTATCAAGTTACAATTAACTTGATAATGGTCCTGGAGCGACGAAACGTCGTCGTCTCGTTATCTTGTGGTGTGTGGGTTGGTTATCATGTCTTCAGCCACGTTATTGTGACTCATCGTCTGCAATATTCCAAGCTTTTGCAAGGTTCTGACCTCTCTTGATTGTTCTGATGGATGGGTGAAGGAACTTTTAAAGACGACAACAAAGAAATTAGTAAAATACTGAGGCTTCAGTACGATTCTGTTTTAATTGAACTCCGGAACACATTGAAGATGTGAATTTAAAATTAATTCTTCACGAATGTAACACCAATATGGAACCATGTATGAGCTGTCACCCTAACCCCACCAGACTTTGAAGTAGCCATAGACAGCATGCCCATGCACTCTGCACCAGGCCACACTCCTGGAATTCTAGAGTGATCAAGAAGGGAAAAAAACATAACTATCACAGGCCCCAAACATCTTTTAGAGACAGAGCCTAGGTACTTGTCTTATCCCTGACATACTTAAAACAGCGAAGATCGAACCACTTCACAAAGGAGGCAGTAAAACAGATGCACAAGAATATAGAGCAACAGCTCTAACTTCACACATCATAAAAATCTTTGATAGAGTCCAAGGAAGTAAGATTACAAATCACATGGCGTCCCATCAACATACCCCGGACAACACGGGTTTAGAACAGGGCGCTCCTGCCTCTCACAATTCCGTTTTATAAATGGTCATCACATGGCCAAATGTGTACTTGTACTTGCGGGAGTTGCGCGTCAGCTCTTTGGTCCCGCCTCTCAACCGTCAATCAACTGGTGCACGGATTCCCGAGCCTGTTGGGCTCCATCATATCTCCATTTGAAACTGAGTAAGGGGTCTGCCTCCAGCACATCACTGCCTAATGCAATCCATTTGTTAACTAATCTGAGACTAAAAAAGTTCCTTCTAATGTCTCTATGGCTCATTTGAGTACTTAGTTTCCTCCTGTGTCCCCTAGTGCGTGTACCACCCGTGGTAAATAATGTCTTTATCGACCCTATCAATTTATCTGAGAATCTTGTATGCGGTCATCGTGTCTCCCCTAACTTTTTTTTTCAGCGACGCGAGGTTTAGTTCCCATAGTCTCTCCTCGTAGCTCATACCTCTCAGTTTGGATACCCGTCTGGTAGCATACCTTTGAACTCTCTAATTTAGTCTTGTGCTTGACTTGATACGGACTGGAGCTGCACACTCCAGGATTGGTCTGACATATGAGGCAGTTCTAATGTTGGCCAAGCGAGTACATGTGGCTGATATCTTCTTGATGTGGGCTTCAGGGACCAGGTCTGGCTCAATATCAAGTTCCAGGTCTTTCTCTCTCCCAGATTTTTGAATGATTTAATCTCCAGAATGCTCCAAATGGTACCATGGATCCGGTCTCCTGCTCCTTACCCCTATCTTCATTACTTTGTATTTGCTCGAGTTAAGCTCTAATAGCCATTTGTCGGTCCATTCCTTCAGCTCGTCCAGGTCATCTTGTAGTCTCATGCTGTCTTCATCTGCCTTAATCCTTCTCATAATTTTGGCATCATCAGCAAAGATAGAGAGGAATGAGTCTGTACCCTCTGGAAGATCATTTACTAATATAATAGGCTAGATCCGAGTACAGAACCCTGTGTTGGTGTGTGTGTTTTGAGAGCAATATATGTAGTTGATATGACGGTAAAATATGTCGGGAGTCAGTACATTAGTTAGCCGACGATTAGAAAGGCGGTGTCGAAGATCCAACACCTCGATCCCGCCTCGAGCTGCGCCGGACAGCTGAGGGGACAACGCTTCGGATTCGTAGTCCTGAGGTTCGGGGTTCGATCCCCGATGGAGGCGAAGACATGGGCAAAATGTTTCTTTCACCTTGATGCTCCTGTTACTTACCAGTAAATAGGTATCTGGGAGTTAGACAGCTGCTACGGGCTGCTTCCTGGGGGGGGGGGGAACGGGGTGTAACAAAAGGAAGGCTTGGTAGAGGACCGGGCCGCGGGGAAGCTAAGCCCCGAAATCATCTCAAGATAACCTCAAGATCCTGCAGGCATAAGTAGTAAAATATAAATAGTGCGTCCATGAGCCTTGGAAAATATCGGGTAAAACTATTAGCATAGTTAATAACCAGAGAAAATTGAGAACAAAATTGTTGGGAGGCGAGTTTTGAAAGTTGAAGCTGGTGACTAGAGGCGAGGTGATAGGCACGTCGATATTGTCCTCGGGACCAACAAACTTGGTGAGACTTGTGTCAGGGAGGTGATACCTTCTCCAGCCTCCACCCACACTACCTCCAACACTGACTTAGTCACGTGTCTCCGTACTGGCCTGCCAAGAGCTAGCCTACACCTGGCTACCATACACGTGTCCGATAATTGCACAATGACTCGGTAACTGATCCTTGTTATTAATGTGTAGGTGTTGCGAGACGGCTGAGAAGGACACGAGCAACAACGACACTTTCCTGTCCCCGGGGAGATCACCCCTTTCCAAATTACTGCCTCCACCCCCCCTCTTTCCCACCCAAGAAGCTGATTAAAAACAACACTTGCTTCGACAAGAAGGAAAGTACAATGCCTTAAGCCAAATTGATGCTCTGGTCAGAGAGCGCTCTCTTTCTCAGATTATTTACGCTGATGGATCCTTGCACCAATCCCATGGTGCAGCTGGAAGTGCAGTTGTTGTGACAGGGAGAGATGGTTCCTTCTCCCATGAGTGTGGAGCGCGTATAAATAACTGGGCCTCCACTCTTCAAACAGAATTGGTTGCTATAATCCTTGCACTCGAGCGCGTATATGAATCCAAAGTTGACACGCTAATTGTAAGTGACTCCTTGTCATCCTTGACTGCCCTCAGCTCCCCAAGGCATAACTGTGAAGTGCTTGTGTCTGAAGGTAGACACAGATATAATGAAATAATCAATGATGGTGTCAGAGTTTGTCTCCTGTTGATTCCTTCCCATATTGGTCTCCGAATGCACGATAGAACTGATGAGTTAGCCAAGACCTTTGCTCATAAAGTGGGAATTGATTACCATCTTGGACTGCTTTTGAGCAGCCTGAGGGCAGTAATATTCCTGGAACTTCAACAAAATCTCGTAGACTTCAGGCAAAGTGAAATTCACACCAGTTACTCCATCTATCATCATTCTATTATGCAGGAAGAGCCGCACGTCTATGGGTCATCCAGTAAGGTTAGTAGACTTCAAGACGTTATCACTGCTAGGCTTAGGCTCGGCTACAAGTACCTCTGGGAGTTTGTAACATCTGCTGATGTAGATTTGACTAAATGTAAACTCTGTCAGCAGAACTATTCGCATACTTTGCGTCATTATATAATGGAATGTGGAAAAATCGCGGAATTCCGAGATAACACCATCAGTGGTGTCCAGGAAATGTGTAAGTACTTCATTCATAATGATGTACTGCCGGGAATCTTAGTGAAGTATCAAAAATTTGCTTACTGTAGGTGCAGCTGCCGCCCAGTTGGGTGGGTGTGGAGCACATGACTGTAAAGCTGCCGCCCAGTTGGGTGGGTGTGGAGCACATGACTGTAGAACTGCCGCCCAGTTGGGTGGGTGTGGAGCAAGACTAGTAACTGTGACTCACCATAGATGTAAAGTGCCTTGTGTAGATTAGACATGAGTATGCTCTTGGCCCAGGGGGACACGCCCGTCCGCGACGATTGCCTGCACACCTCTGTTCAGTCTGGGCTCCGCCAGCAGTATATGTCACTATTATTAACCCCTGGTGTATACTGGCCACCATTACTGACCCCTGGTGGACACTGGCCACCATTACTGACCCCTGGTGTATACACACCACCATTACTGACCCCTGGTGTACACACACCACCATTACTGACCCCTGGTGTACACACACCACCATTACTGACCCCTGGTGTACACACACCACCATTACTGACCCCTGGTGTACACACACCACCATTACTGACCCCTGGTGTACACACACCACCATTACTGACCCCTGGTGTATACACACCACCATTACTGACCCCTGGTGTACACACACCACCATTACTGACCCCTGGTGTACACACACCACCATTACTGACCCCTGGTGTATACACACCACCATTACTGACCCCTGGTGTACACACACCACCATTACTGACCCCTGGTGTACACACACCACCATTACTGACCCCTGGTGTATACACACCACCATTACCCTAGTGAGGTCCGTGTCAACACCAAGCCATTAAGAACGTGTCTACTTAGTTGACATATCATTAGCGAGGTCTTGGCTTAGTTTACCTAAGTATAACACTAGTGTTTTATGAGTGGTGTGGTGGAGAGAGGCGGCAGCAGCAGCGAGGTGATGTGCCGCAGAGGATGGCGACACCGTGTCTACTCTCCTGAGAGGCAGGTTGCCATAGTGACGGTTGTGGGGCTGCCATACACGCCACACAGAGGGGTGAGTGTAGGGGGAGAATAGGGGTGTGTGGTAGTGGACCTGCCACCATATTCTGTAGAGCGCAGGCCAGAGAGGTACATAATATTCTACACTTTGCAAATATTAGTGTGACGAGTTTCGAATTTGCACTCGGGAATAACTCCATATGAGACCAGGAGGCATGGCAAGATGTGCTGAACACCGCCTTTGAAGAGTAGAGGTGCAATAGTTACTCAGAGAGAACTTTGTCAACATTAAAGGCCTAAAACTGTTCAACACGCTCTCGCTGTACACAAGGGGCATAGCTGGCCGGCCTCTCACAATGCTCC